TAGCTGAGGTAGAGAATAATCCAGCCCACCCCAAGTGTGTGTGAAGGGAATGGTAGTTTCAGATAGATCACTGAGACAGTTTGTGCCTGGCCCCCTCGGATACAGTTGGATCCTGAACTGGCTGAATGCATGCAAAGATTTTCCTCCTTCACACGGGCCAGTCCTGAGAGTCTGGGCATTTTACTTAGGTTTCTACACAGCCTTTGATTTATTGACTTGGTAACTAAAATAGAAGAACTTTGTTTAAGGGCACAATGTTCCAGTCATAGAAGGGGTTTGAGAAGGAGGAAGAAGAACCAGCAATCAATATAAGAAAACTGGTCTGGGTGGCTAGGGTTCCTATAGCCCTTTGACAGACTCTCTAGGGAATTAGGGGGTTGAGGGGCCCTGCCTTTGCCACTCCATGTGCAAAGATGGGCATTCAAGTTCACACAGAATGCAGAGCTCTCGAAATGACATCTTAACTCCATATCTGCCTCATGGACCTCCTAGAAGTACTGCAGCGTGCAACTGAGGGGAGACTTGGCTGTGCGCTCTCCACTTCTCCTTTATGGAACAAAACTCATAAGCACACCAGAAAACACAAATTCACCAAATGCAAACAATGTAAGAAGACAAAACATCCACATAGTCAGAGGAGTCAGACACAGACATACGCTGGTCACCTTCACTCATACACCAAAGCCCCAAGGGTACAGGAGGACTTCTCCTCTGTTCCTGGAGACTGAGTCTGCAATCACATTAAATCTCCTTCTCTATGTCTCCCAAGATGTCAGGACTTCCTAGAACAGTTCACTAACCAATATTGTCTTGAGCACACACTACCCAGTAACCCTTACTTTTGTTTCAATTTGCAAATTTGCAGTGATCACAGTCTGGGACACCCCTGGACCTCCGAGTCCACAGAAGTACTTGCTCCATCTAAGGCTGTGTGTTGCTGGGCTTCCCAGTTGTAGTACTTGCCCCAAACTAGGGCCTGACTCTGACTAATGACTATTTAATTTGTGGCAGCAATGGCCTCTGATGTGCCCGAGTCTCCAAGTCTACCTCAGACTTGCCCCCACTTGGAGCCTATCCTGGATCCCTGGCCCTGAGTCTGGAGTATTTCAGGATCTCGCTGGGGCCTCCAAGAAGGTCACGGAGTTTGAGGCCCCTAGGAAATACCACAGACTCAATTGCAGAAATAATTAGCCAAAATTATTATTTCTGCTAGCAGGGCAGGTATCTCTAAGCCAAATCAGAAGTGTGCCATACATGAACAGATGGGGGAAGGATTTTAAAGGTGAATACCACAATTACTCCACTTCTGCAGAATTTATAGCTCTGCCATTCCCCATCCCACAGCAATAGGCATGTTTACAGAAGCCAGAGCAAACTGTTAATCATTTCATAACAGTTACACAATTTAAGGGAGGAGACAAGGGGTCAGAGCTTTTAGGAATTTAGGTCAGAGGCCAACAGCCCTAATGTGGATGACTGGGACAAAATGAAATTTACTTTCCTATCACATCACAATTAAAATGGAGCCAAATTGGGATTAAGCAACCATTTTATTTCATACAATGTTGTGTGCCTGTAGTATCATGTAAATAACCAGGGAGTACACATTAATTAGAGAATCGCATTCCTCCGGATGAGCTATGTGAACCGTTTCAGCCCACTTGACCTCTCTCCATTCTCAAAACTCTTGTCTTCTGTTCCCACAGCGGTCATCACAAAAAGCCCCGTATTTGGTCCCCAGGATGTGAGTAGTGTGGTAGGGAACTCGGTGTCCATCACGTGCTACTACCCAGACACCTCTGTCAACCGACACACCCGCAAGTACTGGTGCCGGAAAGGAGCCAGCGGCCTCTGCACAACCCTCATCTCTTCGAACGGCTTCATCTCCGCTGAGTATGCAGGCAGAGCCCAGCTCATCAACTTCCCAGAAAACAATACATTTGTGATTAACATTGCTCAGCTCACCCAAGAAGACACTGGGAGCTACAAATGTGGTCTGGGCACCAGTAACCAACCCCTGTTCTTCGATGTCAGCCTGGAGGTCAGCCAAGGTAAGAATCCCAGGCTCCCTGGGAGGAAAATAGTTTAAATCAGTTCAGGTACAATGACAGAGTTTACCCAAGGAAGATACCTCCTACAGAAGGGTATCCTGACACGAAGTCAAAAAAGTCTCCTCCCTCCTGAGGCAAAGGCCTCTTTTTTCATAGTAGAACATCACGACATGTGGGGCATATCTGGGGAAACGGGTGAAACTTTCTTCTGGATCTCTAACAAACAACTTAGAGTTAAATGGGTGCCAGGAGAACAGCTTTTGTTGTATTTGATAGAGTTGAGACATGATGCCAGGTTCAAAGGAAACTCCTTTTCCCCAAATTCTGGAGGACAGACAAAAGCCTTCATTCCTCAGGAACTTGTGAAGCCAATTCCCTTCTGCTAAAGGTGCTATTTCCCTTACAGATGGCAGAAGGAACAACTGGCTATCTGAGGTACCTATTAGCATACTAAAACCCATGCTGGCCTCCAGGCTCCCTCAGCATCACAAGTACCTGCTATTCATTTATTCTTTCTGATGTTCCCCTACCCCAAACTTCTAAAGCTCATGGGCCTCCCTACCACAGCTACCCATTTCTCCTTATACCCTGCTATCTGGACTATGCTCCTGCCTTTGGCCCACACTTTCTTTGCTCCCACCCCCGCCCCTTATCATATTCCCCTTCTCTCCTAGTCTGATAGCCACATTTAGTCTACTCTTTCTCTCCATCCTCTGGACTCTCTCTGATGCCTCTGGCTGTACTCTCCCTCCTATTCACAATGAAAACCTTCTACTTAACTGTAGATGGTTCCATTGGAATTATCATGATGAATTAGATTACTTTTATAACTGAAGTCTAGGCCCCTGAAGAGACTGGCCACTAAACAAACTCACTGTAACTGAAAGAAGAGAGGAAGAAAAAAGGTTTTCTGACAAGAGTTGGTCCATCCGTGAGGGCACCTCTGATTGTTCAAGGAGAGTTAAAAGAGAAAATTCAAGGGAGGAAATTCACAGGGGCTCACAGGGGCTCACAGGGGCTCTGAGGGTATGCCTTGCTCTTTGGGATGTGTGTGCCATTATCCTGAATAAGAAGGTTGTTCCTGGAGAGTCATAGCACCACAAATCCCTAAGAGAGGAGGAGTATCCACAGCAGACCCCATCTAGATACCCAGAAGACTACCACAGTACTGGGAACACAGCCTCCCATAAATACGACCAATAGCAGACACTGCTCCTTAAGGCAACTCAGAATATTTGGACTATTATTCTTAGACAATTCATTTTCAATTCTGTTTGTTTCTACACATGTCAATTTAGCACCTACCAAGAACAGATGTTATGTCAATCACAGCTAAGAGGGAAAATGTAAAGAAAATGTCTCCACCCTGTTGGAGAAGGCCACTTGTTGGTTCCAGGCCACCCAGCTATCTTAGACCAGAAATAATCACACAGAAACTGTATTCATTAAATCACTGCTTGGCCCATTAGCTCTAGCTTCTTACTGGATGACTCTTATATTAATTTAACCCATTTCAATTAATCTGTATATCACCACATGGCTGTGGCTTACCGGGTAAAGTTCCCAGCATCTATCTCCAGAAGCTCCATGGCTTCTCTCTAACTCTGCCTTCCTCCTCCCATGCTATAGGCCAAGCCAGTTTCTTTATTCATTAACCAATAAAAGAAACACATAGACAGAATGACCTCCCACACCACCACCCTCCAATCTATAGAGGCAGAGCCTAGACTGGATATGATGACTGATAAAGATGCCCAGGAGGACACAGAGAAAGGAGAAATTAGTGCAAGCTGAGAGAAACCCTTCCCGAGGAGATGGAAGTCAGGCAGTGCCCTGGAAGAGGAAGGTGATGGATGGGTGATTGCTGACTTCACTTATGAGTCATAGCCAACACCGCCACTACAAAAGATAGGGTAACAAGAGAACACATAGTTTCATTTAACCAAGTTGGTTTTTAAATTTTATTTATTTATTTTATGTGTGTGAGTGTTTTGTCTGTATACATTTCTGTGCACCACATGTATTCCTGGTGCCTCAGAGACCAGAAGAGGTGTCCGATCCTGTGGGACTAGAGTTGCAGATGGTTGTGAGCCACTAGGGATGTGGGTGCTAGGAATTGAACTCTGATCCTCTGGAAGAACAGCCAGTGTTCTTAATTGCTGATCCATCTCTTCAGTCCCCATTTATTGAAGTTTTACAGTCAGAGGAACCCTCACAATGACCATGCAAAGATCTGGTTCCCATGCAACCTTTATATTGAGTTCCATGAAGCAGGGGTGACCATACAAAGAGAAGACAGAACAAGACAGGTGTGAACTGCTGGTAGTAGACAGAGTGAAAACCCCAGCAAAGCTCATCTGTTAAAACTCTCCTTGGCCCCTCAACTGTGGCGCTTCCTTGGGGGTGTGAGGCAGACTGGGCAGTGAAGACCTTGATGTATAGAATGTTAGGTCAGGAGATTCTTTCTGCTCAGTTGTTACAAAGAAAAATGGGAGGTTAAAGTAATATGTTTAGGGTTTGTGGGTGGCTAGGATAAAGGGGTTATGGTTTCTATGGTCTGCCCTGGAAAAGAGTTTCTGGTTTCTATGGTTTACTTTTGGGAATCATGGCATGAAAAACAAATGGGCAGGAGAAAATCAAAGTAAAACCTTTGCTTCAGAGGCCTTTGCTTTGGCATCATTGTAGAAACTCCAACAGAAAAGTTCTGACAGTGTTCCTTTAGGGAGGAGGCCATTCTAGGTCATTGGCCCACCCAGAACCCTCACTAGCAATAGAAAATGGCCCTATGTTACAAAGCAAAGGTTATAATTTACCCCTATCCTTCATTCCTCAGTTCCTGAGTTCCCAGAGGGCACTCATGTCTACGCAGAGGACCTGGGCAGAAATGTGACAATCGAGTGTCCTTTCAGTAAAGCGAACGCTGCTAAGAAGAAATTCTTGTGTAAGAAGATAGGTCAGGCCTGTGAACTTGTCATTGACTCTAGTAATAATGTGAACCCCAACTATGTGGGCAGAGTAAAACTTGCTATGGCCGGCGGGACCGGCGGGTCAAAATTCACTGTCACCATTACTAACCTAAGACCCAGTGATGCTGGGCTGTATGTCTGCCAGGCTGGGGAAGATTCTAATGCTGATATAAAGAACACTGACCTCCAGGTGCTAGAGCCTGAGCCAGAGCTGGTTTATAGCGATCTGAGATCCTCGGTGACTCTTGACTGTGCGTTGGGCCGTGAGGTGGCACATTTGCCCAAATACCTGTGCCGGAAGAACAAGGAAACCTGTGATGTGGTCATCAACACCAAGGGGCAGAGGGATTCAGCCTTTGAGGGCAGGATCCTGCTAACCCCCAAGAACGACAATGGCCATTTCAGTGTGTTGATCACAGGCCTGAGGAAGGAAGATGAAGGCCACTACCTGTGTGGAGCCAGTGACTCTGGCCTGCCTCAAGAAGGCTGGCCCATCCAGGTCTGGCAAGTCTTTGTCAATAAAGGTGAGAGCCTCCAAAAGGCAAGCAAGATGGGGTGGCATGGGATGGTAGATTAGAGAGTAGCTTAATTCTCTGATATACTCACCGATGTTCACATCAGTCATGGTATCTCCTTGCTGGAAAGTCTTGAACTAAGTGGGAGGCAGTTCAGGAGAGTTAGAATATGCAACCTCTGCCTTACACAAGTTCCCAAATTCTTCTGCATTCAAGGGCCTGTTGATGTTTATCCCTGGGTAACAAGAATAAGGAAAGTAGAGGCCCTGCTGGAGATATGACTGGTAGATGGGATTCAGTACCATGGTAGACCCATGTCCCCTTCCCAGCCCACCCAGCCCCATAGCAAGTTGGGCACCAAAAGCCTCATACTCAGATAAGAGAACACTGGTGTACCATGATCTTGATGCTTTGAGGAAAGGCAATACCTCAGCATCTAAACATTCTACTCCCACAGCTCAAGGGGATGTTTGTCATTTGGCACAATCTGCCTCAGCAACTGCACCTCTGTGAACTGTCAACAAGGCAGAATGATTCAACTCATGCTTCCTCTCACCCTGGAGCACAGTGTACAGACTGGCCTTCATGAAAAACAACAAGCCAGTACTTGGCATTCAAATTACCTGTCCTTATGGCCTTTCTTTAAGGGGACTATGTACCATTTTCCTGTTCCCGACTCTGGGTCTTCATCAACATCCCTGACATATTCAGTCACCAAGGGTTCCCCTGGACCCCTGCATTAGCTTCTGTATTCTTGAAGAGGACCCTTGGAGTCTTTACTAAAATCATACCATATTGTTTTAGTTTCTACTTTAAAGTATACCTATTCCAAATGAATTTTCTTAATTTAGGTACAATATATCTAGCTGTTTTTTTAGAATATGCTAAGAAACAAATTAAAAGATTATCTAGAGGGAGATTTTAGAAGAAGCCAAAGGAAAGGAGCCAATATTCTCTCTTAAATGTCATTCATTCCCTCCTGAGAATGAGGTGGAAAGAGAGGGATGAGCTACCCACACTGAAGTCATTGGAGTCTGGCCCCCAGACTCTGGCTACAGACCCAGGCATAAACAATGTTTTTCATTCTCTGAGGAAAAGGAAGTGATTTATCTAAACTTTCCTCTCTCCATGGTGGAGGTCACGGGAAGAAAAGTTGCCTGGGGCATTCAGGGTCATTTGGGTGCTTCTGTCCATTCACACCGTCCCCATCTGTCCTTCCAGAGTCTACAATGCCCACTACTCGCACTGTGGTGAAGGGTGTCGCAGGAGGCTCCGTGGCCATTGCCTGTCCCTACAACCCCAAGGACAGTGGCAGCCTCAAAGTCTGGTGTCGCTGGGAAGCAGATGGAAACGGGCATTGCCCGGTGCTTGTAGAGAGCCAGGGGAAGGTGAATGAACAGTACGAGGGCCGACTGGCGCTGTTTGATCAGCCAGACGATGGCACCTACACTGTCATCCTCAACCAGCTCACCACCCAGGATGCCGGCTTCTACTGGTGTCTCACTGATGGCGACTCTCGTTGGAGAACCACGGTAGAACTCCAGGTTGCTGAAGGTGAGAGATGAGGTGGAGGCGGGCGGCCCAAGACCATTCCAGCAGCAGCATCTCCTAGACATCTTTCCCGCTATGCCACCTCCTTCCACGCTGGTGTAGGAAGGACCTACTTGTCCAGAGGTTCCATTTCCATACCCACGACCAGCAACCCATATTCTTTCAATCAGCACTTGCAACACTTCCTGATATCAAACTTTGGCCTCCTTTGCTGGAGGTAGATGACCCCTGAAGTGAGATATTGCACATGCTCTTGGTGCTAAGCCTAGAAAAAATAAGGAAAGTAAGGGAAGCCAAGAGAAGTGAGCGAGCAAAGCTCGCTATATCAAACTCTGGGCTGATACGGTGGCATCAACAGTCACTCCATTAGCATTTCATCTGCTTCCTATGTATTCAGAATAGTGTGTCACAGTGCTGTCTTCAGGGGCAATGCACACGACACACCGAAACTGCCACTTTCACTCCCCTGTAGCATCTCCAAGTCTCAATGTCCGTGTCTGTTTGCCAGCTACAGGGAAGCCAAACCTCGAGGTGACGCCACAGAACGTGGAAGCCGTGCTAGGAGAGACCCTCACGCTCGACTGCCACTATCCCTGCAAACTCTACTCCCACGAGAAATACTGGTGCAAGTGGAGCAACGGGGGCTGCCACACCCTGTCTAGCAAAGTCCGCCAGCCCTCTGTGAGCTGTGACCAGGACAACCAGCTCGTCACCCTAACCCTGAATCCAGTTGAGAAGGAGGATGAAGGCTGGTACTGGTGTGGGGTGAAGCAAGGCCAGACCTATGGAGAGACTACAGCCATCTACGTAGCAGTTGAAGGGAAGACAGGGGGTGAGTCTCCAAGGGCAGCCAGTGTCTGCACCCACAGCCCCCCATGCCAGGACTTACCAAACGTCCCTGACTAGAAGCTTCTCCATCAGAAATAACCCCTGGGTTTTGCTGTAAGAGGGAAGGATTAGGGAAGCAGACAGTAAGAGCTTTTCTGTTTAATCTCAGTAGTGAGACAATCCTTACAGGTGCCTCTCACAGCAGAGGGAAGCCCCCTCCTTATCCAGAATCCTACACGGCAATTGCAGAGTCACATCTGTGTAAGTCTGTTCTCCAAAGATGGTCAGGTACCTACATCTTGATCGAGAACACTAAGGCACAGCACTGAGAGCTTAGCTTGGATTAGGGCGTGTGACATCAAAAGAACAAAGGGGGGGGGACAATTATTGCAAGCTCACCTAGTAAGTTCGTATTCCCAGCCTCTGTTTAAAAGGTCATAAAGCCAGGCAGTAGTGGTGTATGCCTTTAATCCCAGCACTCGGGAGGCAAAGGCAGGTGGATCTCGGTCAGTTTGAGGCCAGCCTGGTCTACAGAATTCCAGGAGAGTCAGAGCTGTTACACAGAGAAATCCTGTCATGAGCCCCCAAAGTAAAAAGGAAGGAAGGAAGGAAGGAAGGAAGGAAGGAAGGAAGGAAGGAAGGAAGGAAGGAAGGAAGGAAGGAAAAAGTCATATAAAATGTCTTGTATGATGAGGGCCTTTCAGTTCCTGGCTATCTCAGGAAGGTTGAATTCAGCAAGAGTGACTCACTGGATTCCAGCAAAACTGGCTCACTGGAAGCCATTGCTGTGCTACTGCCTGGAGGCAGCCCTAGGACAGGCTTTGATGCTATGAGAATCCCCGTCAGTCTGCTGTCACAGGTGGATCTGTTACATAGATCCTTGATGATGGAATAGACTTGGTAAGAATGGGATATAGAATTAGACAGAGGTAATCGTGGTGTGGGGGCAGCAAGAGCAGGAATAGTGTCTGCGATCTAGAACAAGTCTTCACTGCCAAGTCTGGTGCCAGTCCAGAGCCCACCCCAGCAGCTTTGAGGTCTCGTGCCGAGATTTCTCCCTAACCCACAGGCCTAAGAACACAGAGGAAAAGCCATAATCAGCTTTGTTTTGCTCTGCTTCAGGGTCACGCCAAGTCAACGTGCCAGACGCCAACGCACAGGCAAACGCTGCTCCAGAAGAAGAGGTAGCTGAATTCAGTGCCAGCGAGAAGGAGAACAAAGCCGTTCTGAACCCCGGTCTTCTGGTAGAGGAGACAGGGATAGAGAGTGTGGGAGACCAAGCTCAGGACAGTAGAGCATCTGTGGACGCTGGCAGGTGAGTAGATTCCCCACTCGGAGAACAACGCAGAGGCCAAACCCCAAGTCTGAGTCACTAGAACCAAGCAGCAGAGTGTGAACGAGACTAGTAGACAGTCAGTTCTCACAGCCCTCGCTTATGCTTGCTAGGGGAGGGGAGGCTGCAGATCCCTTCCCCACAGCCAGAGCAGGCCACTTCAATATCTCAAGCCTGGAATATAGAGAAGGGCAGGTCCTTGTATTGCGGATTCGGGGCTAGGGGTGGTCCTGCAGGTTTCAACAACAAAAAGACAGAACAGATAGACTGGGGGTGGGGGAACCTCTAGCTGGGACAGCCTTCCAACACATTCTGAGGACCTCCCTCTTGGTGGTGGACTGACTTAATCCCTCTTGCAGTACTGACGGACAAAGCGGAAGTTCCAAAGTGCTGTTTTCCACCCTGGTGCCTCTGGGTCTGGTGCTGGCAGTGGGTGCTGCGGCTGTGTGGGTGGCGAGAGTCCGACACCGGAAGAATGTAGGTGAGTACCCAGGACGCTCCCCACCCCACCTCCAGTTCAGCGAATCAGTCAATGTGACTCTGGTATAGCCTATTCTATCCCTCCATTTCCTCGCGCCTCGAGACAGGGCAACCACCTTTCACAGGGCTGGTTTAACCTAGAATGGAGAGCTGTGAACTGAGCCACAGGTGGGCAAGGGTCCTAGAGTCTTGACTACCCAAGAAAGGGAGTCAGACTATTTTCATTTTGATTTGGAGGTAAGCATCAAAAAGTACCACTCCTTGGTGTCTCTTGGGCTGTGGCATGTGGCAGGTCTCAGGAAGAGCAGCACACCCTGCTCTCCTTACCCACGGCCCAGCCCCCTCACCGACTCCTCTACCCAACAGACCGGATGTCACTCAACAGCTACAGGACAGACATTAGCATGGCAGACTTCAAGAACTCCAGGGATTTGGGAGGCAATGACAACATGGGGATCTCTCCAGATGCTCACGAGACAGTCCTAGAAGGAAAAGATGGTATGTGTTTTGAGAATGCTCAGCCCTTGGGAAAGCAGAACTGGACCTGTCCCCATCTGGGAAGGAAAGGTGATGGCTAGGGCTAAGGACATTCTCTCTCCATGCAGAAGTCGTGACTACCACTGAGATTGCCACAGAGTCAGAAGAATCCAAGAAGGCAAAACGGGTAAGGGAGAAGGATATCTCTCTGCATGGCAGGGAATTTAGACTGCAGTTGGACATCAGGACAAAATCACCCCCATCCGGAGACTAACCCCCAAACAGGGAAGACCATATAAATACCGTATTTGAGAGGACTTTCTGAGAAGGGGAAATATCTTTGGGTGTGACACTTCAGAAGGACGGGAACGCAGTTGCAGGCTGTAAACCTGCAGAAAATGTGGTCACAGGAGGAGAGTCACGAGTTAACAGTAACAATTGAGTGGGTGGTCTTCCTGAGTTATGGAGGCCTTAGTGCCTTTCCATGGGCCACACAGCCTCCTTTGAAAGCTTCCTCAGGACTATCCTTTGGCCTGAGAGTGGGAGACATTTATTCATGGCGGGCA